AGTGTATGGCCTGTTGTAGGCATGAGAAGTTTCAAGCACAAGTAAAGGGTGATGACCCTTGCAAGATCTTGATGATCATTGGTTGATTTTCCTTTTTTTGTTTGTTGAAACATTTTGGTCAAAGACTTGTCATCCAATCTCTTTACTGATTTGCATCTTCGTTGTAAAATGGAAGCTCAAAATCCTTTGGTCTTGCATAGGATTTGGTGGTGATGCTGTCTTCTCCATAGTCGATACCAAAAATAAGCTTGACATCACTGTTTCTGAGTTTCATTTCCTTTTTGCCAAGTATAAATGCTCTTTTTCTTTTGTTGTAGAGTGTTGTCATTTCTGCTACAATGAAATTGTAGCATTTGCACCAAGAGGCCTTCAATTGTGTTGAGGAGAGAGCATTTATAATGGGCTAAAAAGGGGTTTTTTTGCAGCTCTGTCTATTGGGCTTTTGTGAATTTGATCCCTTTCAACAGTTTGATTACTGTTCCGATGTTGGAATGGTAATTAAATTGTTGGACTCTCTTTGCAGGGACTGTTGCTTTTTTCCCTTTTGATGCCTTGGTTTTTGTTATGGGAGTTGATTGGCTTTCTTGGAGCTTTCTTTTTTTGGTTGGAGGAGCTTCTTTTTTTTTTGTTGACTTTCTTTTGTTTGTTTTTGTTGTGGTTGGAGGTGTGGTTGGTGTTTGTTGTGTGGGTGGGGTCTGTGGTGTAGTTATTGGGCTTTTTCTTGTAGGTAGTATGGTTGTTTTGTGGGTTTTTTGGTGGGATCTGTGGTGTTTGGTTGTTTTTGGTTGTGGTGGTTGGGTTTTTTGTGGAGGGGGAGATGTTGGTGGCATTTCAGTGGATACAGGAGATAGACTTTCAAAAGGAGAGATACTTAAATCCCTTATTGGATTTTTGGGCATATGGGTTTGTTTTTTCCAATATCTTCCAACAGCTATTTCTGAAAAAATAAAAATGACAGCAGGGTATGAGTAATATAGTGACAAAACTGTATAATTTTGAAGTTTTATATGCAGTTTAATATGAAGTTATATGTATTTGTTGGTAACAGTTACGAAACTGTATAATTTGACAGTTTAATTTGCACTTTATAATAAGTTACCTATTTGTTTTGAGTAGTGATTAAACTGTGTAATTTTGCAGTTTCATTTGCAGTTTGAATAAATTTAGATATGTTACTTGTAGAGTGATGAAATGAAACTGTATGATATTACAGATTTTATAAACAGCATCAATAATAGGAACAACTCATTGTATTTTGTAAACAGCAACAATAACAACAAGAATATTAAGTATTCAAAAATAACAACAATAAGAAAAGGCAATATTGAACAACAAGAATAAGAATAAGGTGTTGAATGTATAAAAACAGGGATTTATGTGTAAAAACAGTGGATTAGAATGTTTAAAAGCAGGGGACTAGAATGTTGTAAAACAGGGGATGATATATGAAAGAGGGTTTATACATTTTGAAGTACGTAAAATGTATATATACGAAATATGAAAGAACAAAATATACAAATTTGAATAAAAAATAATGAATAGGTGAAGAGAGATGTTACTTTTTTTCTCCATTTCTGTGAATCGGAAGTCAGGAACTATGAAATTTCTTTAAAGTGGTGATGGTTCTTCATGTTGTTGAGAGTCGCCGATTGGAGAATATGAACGGCTTGGTGTTGTGTTGAAGATGAACGGTTTCGTTTTGTGGTTAGAGTAGGGTTTCAGAGGGAATGGAGTCGAACGGAGGAGAGATGGAGGAGTGAGAATACGATTTCGAGCGGCGGAGATGTAACAGTGTATTGATCAGACTGAGATGATCGTGGGTGATGAAGATGAACGGTTTCGTTTTGTGGTTAGGGTAGGGTTTTAGAGGGAATGAAGTCGAACGGATGAGAGATGGAGGACTGAGAATCCGATTTCGAGCGGCGGAGATGTGACAGTGTACTGATCAGACTGAGATGATCGTGGGTGATGGTTGCGCGCGTGTAAATTGGATGATATATTGTGGGTATTTTCGTCTTATTGATAATTTGAGGACTTAATGGAGTATTAAATTTGTTTTGGGCCTAAATGTGGTATGATATGTTGGGCTTGAACCTTTGGGTCAGTTCCCCAAAATAATTGAGTCTAAAAGTAAGAGTGGATATGGCCCATTGGTTGATGAGCCCACCCGAGCCCGCTTATGATTTATGGGATCTGGAATTAAAGCGGTATAAAATATTGTCAAATTCGCTAAAATCTTATCGATTCACATTAATTTACACCGTTTTATTTACTAATTGTGATTTAAACTTTAAAACTTATAATTCGCCATCGAAACCGTTTCAATACAGTTAATACATATGTATTTTTAACCTATAATAAAATATCAAAACAAAAATAAGTAAGAGAGATTTAAGATGTGAAATTTATTAAAAATTAGCAGTTATATATATGAAAAATATTATGTAAAATTAGTTTGTATTATATATATGAAAAATATTATGTAAATTAGTATTATATATTATATAAAGGCTTGATAATTGATTAGAATATTTTTCAATCCGTCAATCTACCTAAAATTGCTCAAACCACAATTTGCCAATCCGTCAATCCGCCATTTAATTTATAATTTTACTCTCAAACCGTCTGAACTGCACCACGCATACCTCAACCTAAAATTATAGTTTAATCTAGGGGATCAGATTGTGTAAAATTTTTAGATTGGATTATTATGTGAGTTAGGGTTGGGAAAAGTACTTCAAATATGTCCCTTTCACAAACAATTAAGGGAAATTTAACGATATACACTCCTATTGCTAGTTGCAACTTTTGAGATTTTAATATTAGTTATGACTTAATTATACATATTGTTGGTATTAATTATGATTCATTATGAAATTAGTTATTTGATGAATTGTTTAACACACAAAAAATAAAGACTAAACTAAGTTCCAATTTTTTATAATAGAGATAAGTTTAGGTATCAATCCACAAGGACTAATGTGATATTAAACTAATTTTATTTGTAAAACTCTTAAATTATTTTGATGAAAGTGGTTGATGAATATTGGAACAAGAATTAAAATGAAAAATAAAAATTCAATTAAAAATAAATATTAAGATTGAGAAATTAATTGGGGAAAATCCTAAGGCAATGAATCCACTACTAGCTATATAAATAGAGTTTGAAATTGGAAATTGATTACAATATGGTTTGAACTATCCAATGTTTCACAACTACAAGGTTGAAACATTGATAAAGAGGATTGTCGCATTCAACGTATAAATCATCTGAAGTAGTACATTGTTTGGTCTAAACTAAGGTAACAACACGACTCGTCTCCTATAACATGACTCATCTTATATTTTAAACATGAACATAAAGCAAACAATTGTATGGAAAGTATTTAACAATCATATAAACAATAACACTTAAAGAGATGCGTAAAAAGCTTCTAAAATACAATTTGTTCAAACCATTACAACAATCAAAACCTAAAAAAACCTCTATTTACTTGGCTAGGGTTTCATCAAATCCTTAGAAAGATAAAACCTAGCCACTCATGGAGAATGGAGAAAAAGAAATGGAAGATGAAGTTGCCATGGAAGTATCTCTAACCTTCAAGTCTAAGTTTTCTCAAAACCCTAGCCTCTCCTTACTTTTCCAAAAGTTTTTCAAACCCCAAAAATATTTTTCTTTCTTCTTTATATACTCCCTCAGTAGAATAGGCAATTTTAGAATTTTAGCATGCATCTCAAGGTTGAGTTGCACATGCAGGAAATGTTGTCACATGTGCGGGAATGGATGTCACACGTGTGGATCACTGTAGTGAGTGCTTGGTGGTTTTGGTTTGGACTGCAATCCAAATTAACCTAATTCAATGAATTGTGTTTGAATGTATCTAGTTATCATCATAATAGACTCAAAAGCATATACATGTGTACATTTCAGCAACTATCATTATGACATTTTTTTTTATCAATAGATATTTTCATTAAGGTATGAAAGCCAAATGACACATATAAGGAATCCATTCCAGCAAATAAAAACTTACCCCAAACTAAAAGAAAATATACGGATGAAAGCACATAGGACTAGCTATGAAAATAACAAGATGCAAAGGTCATATTGCAAAGCAGAGTTGATCGTAAGAGTTCGATAATAGGACAAGTTGAAGATAAAAGCATAGGCTACATCCATAGAGATAGGTAAGCAACAATCAAAGCCCCGATGGAAATCTAACCATTCAACCAAACACCAAAAAAACAAAACAAAGAAAAGGAAGACAACCTTTAGACTTCAGGCGGGGGAAAAGGTGACGACGACATCGGTGGTCGAAGGCAGATTTGGTGGGGAAAGAAAGTGGAGAAGGGATGGTGATAGATTTGATGAGGGTAGGACTATGGAGGCGAGGTGATGGCAAATTTGGTGGCAGTGATGGTGGCGGCGACGCTAAAGAGAGGCAGAAGAGGAGAGTGAAGGTAGTTTTGGTGTAAAACACACTTCACAAGGAGGGAGAAGAATGGAAAAATAAGCTTCCAAGCTTATTTTGCAAAAAATTGAAGAAACGAAAAAAGAAAAAGGAAATGGAAGGAGAAAAAATGAGGCCAGTGACTGAAAACCCCTTCCCATCCCTTGCAACACGATAGTATAGTAGTAAAAATCCTAGAAAAAGACTTAGAGAGAGATGCTCTACACTTTATTATGATATTATTTTAGTTATATATTTTTTTACACACCAAAAATGTGTACCATAACATTATTATTTTTTATTTTATAAATATACATATTTTATGTTTAACTTTACATATATATATATTATAAACACGTATTTTCTATTACTATTAATGTTAGTAGAAAATTTGAAATAAAACCCTTAAAAAGACAATCAAACTATTACGCTAATTATTATTATTTTTTAATTTTGAATGTATATAAAATTAATTTTGAATGTATATAAAAAATTCATAATATAATAATCCTCTATATTATTCGGTGTCGTTTTGATATGCAAATTTGGTATTCAACCAGTCAATTGCTCTATGCATCACACTCCTCTCCTTCAAATGAGACCCTTGTGCCGTCTTCATCTTCCAAATCGAGGTCTCTTCAATGGCTTCTCTCTGCTCTATCACACTCTCCAAAACCAAACCAGGTCATTCTCTTCTTCTTCTTCTTCTTCAACCCCTGTGTCTGACTCATTCGACATAGCTAGGGTTTCTGACCTCATAACAAACCAACGCTGGTCTGACCTCAAAACCCTAACCAACCAAACAAACCCTAACTCCTTCCTTCACCTACTCTTTGAATCTCAACAACTCGACGACTCCGATGTACTTCTCGGTTACTTCAAATGGTCTGAGAAGGAATTTAGGGTTTCACACAGTCTCCAACTCTATTGTAGACTGTTTCATTTGTTGGCCAATTCAAAAAAGTATGCAAAACTTAGGGCTTTATTGTATGATTTTGTTAAGAATGGAATGCACTCGAATTCTTCGATTTTTCATTTGCTTTCAATGTCTGGTAATGGGTTTTGTGCTAATTCAATTATTGTTGATATGCTAATACTGGCCTATGTAAAGAATTCGAAAACGGATTTGGCATTTGAGGCTTTCGAGAGAGCCGGAGATTATGGGTTTAAGTTATCGCTGTTGTCGTGTAATCCCATGTTGTGTTCTTTGGTTAAGGAGCATAAATTTCGGGTTCTTGAGATTGTGTATAAGGAGATGATTAGGCGGAGGGTTGAGCTTGATGTGATTACTTTCAATACTGTGATTAATGGGTTTTGTAAGGTAGGGAAGTTGCAGAAGGCAGAGGATGTTGTTGAGGATATGAAGGTGAGGGGGTTTTCGCCTACAGTAGTTACTTATAATACCCTTATTGATGGGTATTGCAAGAGAGGTAGGGGAGGGAAAATGTTCAAAGCCGACAGACTTTTGAAGGAAATGGTTTCGAAAAAAATTTACCCAAATGAGATTACTTTCAACATTCTGATTGACGGGTTCTGCAAGGATGAAAATGTATCTTCTGCCATGAAGGTGTTCAAGGAAATGCAAGAGCAGGGTTTGAGGCCTAATGTTGTCACATATAATTCCTTGATTAATGGGCTATGTAGTGAGGGGAAACTTGATGAAGCTCTTGGTTTGCGGGATCAGATGGTGGGGTCAGGTTTGAAGCTGAATATTGTTACTTGTAATACCCTTATCAATGGGTTTTCTAAAAAGAAAATGTTGAAGGAAGCTAGAGATTTGTTTGATGATATTGTTGAACAAGGATTGGATGCAAATGCTGTAACATTTAATACCTTGATTGATGCTTACTGTAAAGCTGGGAGAATGGAAGAAGCAATTGCATTGCGTGATTTGATGCTGGACAGAATGTTGTTTCCTGATGTTTCGACCTATAATTGCTTAATTGGTGGTTTTCTTAGAGAGGGAAACATGGAAGGCGCTAGTAAGCTTATAGATGAACTGGAGAATAAGGGTTTGAGAGCTGATCTTATAACATATAACATACGTTTAGATGCATTGTGTAAGAAAGGGGAGTCAAAAAAGGCAGCTAGACTTTTGGATGAAATGTTTGGGAGGGATGTGATTCCTAATCATATGATCTACAATACTTTGATAGATGGTTATTGCATGGAAGGCAACCTCAGGGCTGCTTTGAATATGAGGACACGCATGGAGAGAGATGGGAAGCGGGCAAATGTTGTATCATATAATGTATTGATTAAAGGTTTTTGCAAGAAGGGTAAGCTGGAAGAAGCAAATGGGCTTCTTAATGAGATGTTAGAGAAGGGTTTGGTTCCAAATCGAACAACCTATGACATAGTTAAGGAGGAAATGATGGAGAGGGGATTCGTTCCAGATATAGATGGGCATTTGTATAATGTTTCCATTAACTCTTAATGCTTACAGGGGAAGTTGAACTGGTTCTGCAGACCCTATTTTGGGTTTTCATGTTGCAGGCATACATGTTTGAGTCGAGTCCTTGTGGGATTTTGTTTATGGCTCAAGATTAGATGCTTTTTGGATTGAGGTGATTCTTGCTCCAAAAAATGCTGAAGATCAGTCATGCTTATTGTATTATCACTAGGAATACAACACAACAGTATAAAACATTCAGGGTTTTTATTCCCTTCTGATTCAGCCTTCAGGTTAGTTCTCTTACGTTTTGTTAAATGTCCTTGTAAAAGGTGGAGTCAGGGGTCTCCTGTCTTTGAGCTTTGATATATTAAAATTTTTATTATTATTTGATTGTATAGCTTTTGTCCTTCTTACCATTTGTTCTTTTGAATAGTCATCTTGTAGGATATGAAAAGACTTCTTTATAAATAACACTGGTTTGTGTCAGGTTGTGTTGTTAATTCCAAAATGCTAACCTTTTTTTTTTCCTCTTACAACTTACTATACAGATGCACTTGTGATGTTTCCTCTTTAATTGATCCAGCTTTTGAATCAGAATTTGCTTTTGAAGCTTAATTGTTTATTTACTTTGTGCCTTATATAGAATCAATATAAACATCTCCTCCTCCAATGTTTTAAAAATACATTTTGTAGCCTTTGTTACATAGACTCGGCTATTAGGATCACCTGTGGGTGTTTCTACAAGCGTCAGACCTTTTTATACTTAATTCTTATGTTATTGGGGTATGTATTCAAAAGTTAAATATGGGTACGGGGACAATTCATGGACGGACACACACACACACATATATATATTGCATATTGTATAGTATTTTTAGATAAGATGTTGTAAATTATATAGAAATTTATTTTAAATTAAATAGGATTTAAAGAATATATGGAAATTTAACTCATTCATGTGAGAAGTTAGAAATGTTTCTTTACTAGCAAATTTGAGTTTCTCTTTCTTCCAACGTTGTAAAAAATTAAAATATCCAAGCGTCTAAATTGGATATGAGTGTTAGACACATATTTCACACCTTTACCCTTTTCATATCCGGTGGATACTGGTACGCTCGGGGGGAAATAGAATAGTCCATGCAACATAGATCCCAGCTTAAAGTTTGATCATTAAGGCATTTCCAAAAGATGTTAACTAATGATGGTGCTTTACATGTTAGGATGCCTACTTAATTTTTTCCATATGCTTGGAACATGCCAAGATTTGAGTTCTTTTAAACATCTCATAAGATGATCTCCTGGGTTAAAAATATTATGACTAGATAGCAAATATTTGATGCATTGTCTATTTTGATGATTGGTTTAAGACTCTGGTCTGTGGCCCAAAATACAGTTAAATGGGTTAGCATAGAATCATTTTGGTGACTGAATGGTTCAGTGTGTTCTGAGGGTGGTACAGAGAGAGATGTAATGTCACTGGATCAGCTGTATAAGCAATTTTTTATTTTTTTGAACTCAGCTGTATAAGCAATTGGGCCTTGAATTCTCAGCTGTATGCTGATGCTTACGTGGCAAAAATATCCGCTTATCATAATCAGTTGTGCATGTTTTTAAGGGAATTCATGTTATTCTTACTGAAGGCTTTAATAAACTGCATGGACCTCATTCAAAGACTAGGAAGGACTAGGAAAAAGGCTAGGAATTTGCTTTGGCTTTGATGTGGGCCATTTGGGGAGGAGAACGTACTTGGAGGACTTTCGAAGGTTTGAAAATTCCTTGCATAGAACTCAATTGAAGAGTAGGAAGGACTAGGAAGAACTCTTGGAATTTGGTACCTCTGGCTTTGCTGTGGGCTATTTGGGGTGAACGTAATTGGAGGACTTTTGATGGTTTGAAAATTCCTATTTTTAAATTGAAGAGTGGAATTTTGGCTACTTTGTACAGTTGGTCTTGGGTGGAGTTGATCCCTCTTTGTACCAATTTTTGGATTTTGTATATCATGTATAAGTGACTTGTTTTTGTTTTGTTTTGTTTTCTTGTTCTCTCTCTATCGCTCGTCTCTTTTTGGTGCCTCTTTTTAAAATAATAAAATCACTTGAGTTTCTGTGATAACTTTCCTTAGATCTTTTGTTTGATATAGGTTGATATGAATACAATTTGGTTCACTGTTACCATATTGTGAACATTATTTTGGAGGAAGAATTCTTGTGTAATATTGCTCTACTAATGTTGAAAAATGGAAAAAAAAAAAAATATAATGCATATACTTCAATTTCATTGTCTGCTACAGATTAGTTCTGTATAATTTTAAGATTGTCCAATGATGCTTCATAACAAGCCATATATTTTGTTGATGCATTCTTGTTCAATGACGAGAAATGAATTGGGAACATTTATGAATCTAAGTCATACCCAGTGCACAAGATTCACATCAAAGTTTGGGAGAGGCGGTAAGTACGCGACCTTACGTCCAATATTTTTATTTATTAGTTTTTGTGTGGAGACTAATTGTCATAAATCTAGATCATGAAATCTGCATTTCCGTATTGACAGTTACTTGTGTGGCTGCCTAAGATGTCTATGAAACTGCCTAACATTTTACTTTATTTCATTTATTTATTTTTATTCCTGGAGGAGAATATTAAAATATTTATTTGGAATTCACAATGTGTATTGGATGTTATGTTTTTAGCTATCCTAAGTGCTTGATGTGAATTAAAAGGAATGTTTTTTTTTTTTGGTAACCCAATTATAGCAAACTGAGACCTCATGTTTGCTGGTTCTTGCACTACTAAAAAAACAACTTTTTGCTCTAGTTTTTTGTGACTGATTATTTAACCATCGCAAAAAAAATTATTTGCAACGGCAGATCAGCCAAAGCAAAAACTTGTGAACCCACTCAGCCTATGCAAAACTTGCGAGCCCACTATTGGGAACCCACTCAGCCCAATTTATATTTTCCTTTTTTCTTAAACTCTCATTTCTCCCAAATCTGATTGGGTAAAACTTGCCCTAGACTCTCATTTCCCCCAAATCTGATTTCGCTCGATTGTGTCTGAGTAAGAGAAGCTGATTTTCCTCTCTCGATTTCGCTCTATAGATCACCATGGTCGTCTGAAGAAGAGATTTCCAACGGTATGAACTCTCTCTCTCTCTCTCTCTCTCTCTCAGTGAGTCTCTTCGAATCATTCATTCGTATCTCAACTTATTTATCTCTCTAGTTCAATCACTTGAACTCACTGAACTCACTATAATTCGTACTCAACTTCTTCATCTGAACTCGCTGTAATTCGATCACTTTTTGGTCAATCTATTGATTTTTCCACCAGGTAGTCTGATTCTGGAAACAAGCTTTGGTTTGAATCAATCCTTCCTCGTCTGCTACAGGTACAACCCGAACTATTCAGTTCTTAATTGTTATCACTTCACCTTCCAATTCTCACCTCTCTCTCTCTCTCTATAGATATATATAGCATTGCTCTCACATACTTGCTTGATTTCACCTCCTTGGTTGTAACTGATTGTGATCATATTTTATGCAGGAATTGAGCATTTTTTTGTTTGATTTTCTGATATCTTGCTAGTTGTGTGCTGTTGTTTTATTGAGACAGTAGAACTGTACTTCCATATGTATGTATTCTATGGAACCACCACTAAATAGAAGTATACACTTGATTGTTCAATTTCTTCTGTATAGTTGAATTGTGCCAATCCAATAAGGTTATATATGACTTTAGTCCGAATGTCAGAGAGCTTGCATCCATGAGGGCTAGCTTGAAAGGGTAAGTCCCCAGGTAAAAAATTAGAGCTCTTAAATTTGAATTCCTACTTCGCTATATATAAGGTTAGTGGATGGCCATATTTGGAGTTTTATCCTGGGTCTCACCGAAAGTGGGATCAAGGGTTCCTTGTTATCTATACTATTATTAATATTATTATTATATACATACAACTCTGTTAGTGTGAACTATTACACTTATTTCCAAATTATCCCAGTATAACTATCTCATATTTTGATTTTGAGTTTCAAATTTTGATAGCCTTTTCAATTTATTTATTTATTTTATTTTACATTCAACTAGTTGATTTTCATACCACACCTATATCTATGGTAACACATTCACAACTCTGTTTGCATCTCTAATGTCTGTTGGTTATGAGCAGAGCACCCTTGCATTTCTTGATTCCTGGTGTCTTAATGATAGAAACATGCAATTTTGCTTTATGTTGGGCTGAAACTAAAGAGATTGTTTAGACAATCCAATTTTTTTTTTTTTTGGCTGTACTTTTCTTCCCTTTCTCAATCCTCTTGCTAAAAAAAGAAGATCATTTTGCAGTTTTTATAGATCTTTCACTTTCACTAACAAGGACCAACCAAAAAAGAAAGAAACAGAAAAGAACTTAATAAAAAAAGGGGCATTCCGAGAATTGAACTCGGGACCTCTTGCACCCTAAGCAAGAATCATGCCACTAGACCAAATGCCCTTCTACATTAAGTACTTTATCTATTTTATATATCATGTAATTAATTAGGTTTGAATAAACAATGTTGTGCATCTATAACAGATTTGCTGGTTCAAATAATGATGACAATTGTAGAATGCAGTAAATAGCATCGAGCGTTTGTAAGCATACTTCTTCAATCCCAAGAATGACTTCTAAAATCATAAAATATCAACGATGATAAACTATGCATATTTAAATGTATTGTTCATCTGTTAACATTATTGATCTAACATTATTGATCTAACAACTATAAGCAGTGATCTCTAATTCTAGAAAAATATTCATGTTAAACATTAGGCTGGGCATTACATTTTATCTCTCATCTGTTTTTCATTTTGTGAAATCTTTAATTTTTGGTGCTAAATGTGCACTTGTTAAAAGGTTGTATCTAGTGCACAATGTTCCCACTTACAAGAGAGTTTGGGATAAGTAATGGATTTGAAGAAGAGGAATTGGTTATTTATTTTTTACTAATGGTTTCGTGGTGAGTCTTTATGAGATGCAAGTTGTGGAATGACTAGATTTTGAAGAGCACTCAATTGAAGAGTAGGAAGGATTAGGAAGTAGTCTTGGAATTTGCTACCTCTGGATTTGATGTTGGCTACTTGGGGTGAACGTAATTGGAGGACTTTTGATGGTTTGAAAATTCCTATTTTTAAATTGAAGAGTGGAATTTTGGCTACTTTGTTTGTACAGTTGGTCTCAAGTGGAGTTGATCCTTCTTTGTACCAATTTTTGGATTTTGTATATCACGTACAAGCTTTGTTATCAGAATCTTACGATTCACGATTCGATTCACGATTCGATTCGCAATTTTTGCAAAATCGATACGAATCTATGGGTGAATCTATTTTGGAAGTGAATCTCTAGTGAATCGCACGATTCATAATCGATTCACGATTCGATTCACTTTTTACGATTCATGCAATTTTTGAAATTATTGTATACGACATATTTTCGACTCTTTTTTTCTCCATCTTTTTAGTGAAAATGACATAATACAACTTTTAATAGCGTTTAATACCAAAATAACCAACATATATACATGATTTATTGTTATTTTAGTGATCATGGAGTTTTTAATAAGATCCAGTTAGATTCAATCAAACTCAACATATTTTTAACATTTCTTCCCATTTTTTTTCTTTTTAAAAAATCATAATATATCTTCTAAAGATGTTTAAGATTAAAGTCACACTATGAATTATCTATTACTATTTTATTAAATTGAATATTACATGTGTGAGGTCAGTTATACTTTTTAAAATGTTTTAGGCTTTGAAATAAAAGATTCTAAATAATTCCTTCTTATTATTTGCTCACTGTTACTTAGAAAAGTATATATACTTATTGTCAAAATATCAACATTGTTGTTAATTATTGTTACTTTGGAAATTGATAGTTTGTCTATTTGGTTACTATCTTTATTAAGAATGGCTGATAAGAAATATCTAAAAAAGAAAAAAGGCAAGATGGTGATATTACATCTTTATTAAGAATGGTTGATAAAAAATATCTAAAAAAGAAAAAAGGTAATATAGTGATCTTACATAGGAACCTTTGTTAACTTCTTACCTATTAAACTACGTGATTATTATTCAAAATAACATTTTTATTGATTTAAGTCTAAATATTTTATATTCATAAGATATATTTAACATCTAAATGTGCAGATATATGTTTTTAAATAATTTAGAAAAAGTGACCGAATCTTTACGATTCACGATTCGATTCGATTCGCGATTCGGTACAAGACCATTTCGATTCACGATACGAATCCCGATTTGACAACTATGCGTACAAGTGACTTGTTTTTGTTTTGTTTTCTTGTTCTCTCTCTATCTCTCTTCTCTTTCGGTGCCTTTTTTTAAAATAATAAAATCACTGTAGTTTCTGTGATAACTTTCCTTAGATCTTTTGTTTGATATAGGTTGATATGAATACAATTTGGTTCACTGTTACCATATTGTGAACATTATTTTGGAGGAAGAATTCTTGTGTGATATTGCTCTACTAATGTTGAAAAATGGAAAAAATAAATAAATATAATGCATATACTTCAATTTCATTGTCTGCTATAGATTAGTTCTGTATAATTTTAAGATTGTTCAATGATGCTTCATAACAAGCCATATATTTTGTTGATGCATTCTTATTAGTTTCTTCACACAATCAATGCCCAGAAATGAATTGTGAACATTCATGAATCTAAGAAAGTCATTCCCAGTGCACAAGATCTGCATCAAAGCTTGGGAGAGGCGGTAGGTACGCAACCTTACGTCCGATATTTTTATATATTATTTTTTGTGTGGAGGATAATTGTCATGAATCTAGATCATGAAATCTGCATTTCCGTATTGACAGTTGTGTGGCTGCCTAACATGTCTATGGGGCTGCAGCAGCAGGTGTCTGCACTTAGTTGGCTGCCTAAGATGTCTATGGAACTGCGTAACATTTTACTTTATTTCATTTATTTATTTTTTTCCTGGAGGAGAATATTAAAATATGTACTTGGAATTCACAATGTGTATTGGATGTTATGTTTTTAGCTATCCTAAGTGCTTGATGTGAATTAAAATGTTTTTTTTTTTTTTGGTAACCCAATTATAGCAAACTGAGATCTCATGTTTGCTGGTTCTTGTGTGGTTATCTAGGGTCAACATAAATGGATCTGATCGTGGCGTTAAATTTATTTGATGCAACTTTGTGCTTATTCATTGATTATAAATACAGCTTTATTATTCTAGACTAATGTGTCTGTTGTGGTTGTTTGCTTTTAATATCTATGAAAATAGTGGATTTACTAAAAAAAAAATTTAGGAACAAAATTATTTTTTAGGGATCAAATATTTTTGTTGCGAAATATATCGTTATTATATTTTTAGCAACGAATTTTTAGTAACGAAAATTGGACATTAGTGATGAATTATTATCTATTTGGGACCAAATTTTGTCTCAAAAAATAAATTATTTTGAGACCAAATTATTTTGTCCCTAAAAGTTTGACATTTTCAAAATTGTCTCTAAAAGCCTTATTTTTGACTTTTCGGGACGATTTTTTAGCAACTATCCTCACGATGATAGAAATTGGTTCCTAAATATTTTTTATAACAAAGTTTTTATTTTTAGAGACCAAAATATTTGATTTCTAAAACTCTTATATGTTGTAATGATTCTACGGTTGAATTTCTTTTTCATTTTTTATTATTGTTTATTATTTATTTTAGTGCAAGTTAGAGCTTGACTTCGAGCATCTTTAAAATACAAAAATAAAATGAATATTACTTGAAGTATGTTGATTTCCTTTCACCTGATCATAGGATTGTGAATTTCAAATCCTAAAAGAGGCATAAATTACACTGTCTTGTACAATAAATTTCATTATGATTTGCTATTATTATTATTATTGTTGTTGTTGTTGTTTGATAAGACCATCCCTTGTTCTTCATGATATTTTTTAACAATCAAACATTTGATCATTTCAGAATAGTTCAGTACTGTAAGGTTGTCACTGAAATTAATAATAAATTTAAAGATTTTGTGTTCAAGTCTTGCTAATCATACTTTTAATGATTCCACAGTGACCGTATCATCAAAATGAATATACTTTTCTTACATAAAATTTTAGACCTTCAGCAACAAAAACAAAAACAAAATTAAAATATTTTTTTATAAACCTTAAACAACTAATTGAGTGGCTAAGCTGTGTTTGGCAAGTGGGTTTGCAGGTTTTTTTTGGCTATTTTAGCCATAAAAAATAAAATAAGTTATTTTAGTCATAACAAACAAAACATCACATCCAACCCATAATCATTACATTCTTCTCTCACAAAAAAAGTCAAAAAGTTAAAAAGCCCTTCCCAAACCAAGTTTTTAAGCCCAGGCTAAAAAAGTCAAAAAACCAAAAAGCCAACCTACTTCCCAAACAGAAGCTTAATAATTGAACTAACCAAGCCATTCTCATACATAATAAATACACATATACATTTATTTGTCCATATTGTGATGTCAAAAGCTTGCTGTGTCCTTATTGTTTCTTTTGTTTTTTGTTGCACCATTTTCTACTCTACTTTATCATTTTATACTTCTCTTTTTGGATTGTGGATTTTAGAGTTGGCCCGCATGCATATATGTTTTTTTTTTTTTTTTTTTTTTTCACTATTTATATGATTCATGTTTGAATTTTTCTACGAAGGTGGTTTTCATATATCATATATAAATAATTTTGGATCATTAGATCTAAAAGTAAAATAAATCTAACCATTGATTAGTAATAATTAAAACCAGGTTAAGAAATCTAGGTAGTTTTGTAAAAAGTAAGATAGTTTTTAATGGTTTTGAAACTAAAAGGTGGTTTTCAACTTACCACAATAACTAAGTATACTTACTATTTGATATGATTATACTTACTATTTTTAATAACTATACTTAGCCTCCGTTTGGGAAGTCGGTTGGCTTTTTGGCTTTTTGGCTTTTTTGGCTATTTTAGCCTGGGCTAAAAAGCTTGGTTTGGGAAGGGCTTTTTGGCTTTTTAGCTTTTTGGCTTTTTTTTTGTGAGAGAAGAGTGTAATGATTATGGGTTGGATGTGATGTTTTGTTTGTTGTGGCTAAAATAGCCTGTTTTGTCTTTTGTGGCTATTTTAGCCCCAACCCACTTGCCAAACACCACCTTACCATTCAATTATTAATAAAATACACTTAACCTGCTATTCAGGTAACAGGTAAACTTAAAAAATTAAGTTGTAATAAATTTTCAAAATCTCTAAAATAAATATAAAATTTATAAAATAGAATTTAAGAAAAAAATATAAAAAATAAATGTGAATTCTAAACATTTTATTATAATTTATTACATTTTATGAAATATGATTTTTTATTTATTTATCTACTTAATAGCAATAAATGAAACCTAATTTCCTTTTCATTTATCACACTTGAAAATGATAAATGCAATTAATGAAGAAATATAATTAATAAAATATAGGAAAATTTATAATTTATTTGAGGATTCCATGAACAATTTTTTTTTTATTTTTAAAATTTTTAAATATTTGAAGATTTAAAGACGAGATTGTTGTTGATTTGGAATTCCTTAGGCAATAATCTATGTCTCTGTAATCTCTATCGCCTTTTTTACTTTAACTTTTCAAGATATTTTGAATTTATAAATTTTAATGTTTTGTTGGAACAACATTTCACCTAGTTAAAAGAAAAATTATGAGATTTAAGTGGTAAGAAAAAAAAAAAATCAAGTTTGATGAAATAGTAAGTGCAATCTTAAGTTTAGTTTAAATGATTGATTAATCAAGTCTACTAAAATAGTAAGTAGAGTCTAATTGAGTGGTAAGTGTTGTTTAAGTGATGAGCCAAGTTTGATAAAGTAGTAAGTGGAGTTTCACTGAGTAGTAAGTGCTATTTAAATGAGTGGTAAGCCAAGTCTGATAAAGTAATAAGTAGAGTCTCATTGAGTAGTAAATGTGGTTTAAATGAGTGGTAAGTAAGCATAAAATAGTAAGTATGGTTTAAATGAGTGGTTTCCAACTTATTACAATAACTAAACACACTTACTACTTGATATAGTTGTACTTTATTCCACATAACTACACTTACCATTCAAACATTAATAAAATGCACCTAACTTCTGAAATAAATATAAAATTTATAAAATAGAATGTAAACAAAAAAAAATGTACAAAATAAATATGAAATTTATAAATTTTATTATAATTTTTTACATTTTATGGAATATGATTTTTTTTTTTATCTACTTAATGGCAATGAATGGCAATAAATGAAACCTAGTATCTCTTTCATCTACCACAATAAATGCAATTAATGAGAAATATGATTAACAAAATATGGAAAAATTTCAAATTCATTTGAGGTTTCCATAAATAAAATTTGATGTTCAATTCTAAAACTTTCAAAGATTTTAAGATAGAATTGTTGGTGATTTGAAACTTCTTAAGTAAGTCTCTCTCTTTTTACTTTCACTTCCATTATATTTTGAATTTATAAATTTTTATGTTTTGTTGGAACAACATTTCACCTAGTTAAAAGAAAAAGGGCAAATTACATATACACCCCTCCAGGTTTGACAAAATTACAGATACCCCCCTGAGGTTTGAGAAATTACGAATTCCCCCCTGAATGCTATATTTGCATAAGAAATTAGGGGGTAATTTGTTATGAAATATAAACCTCAGGGGGTAAATTGTTATGAAAATACAAACCTCAGGGGGCGGGATGTAATTTCCGAAACCTCAGGGGGGTATCTATAATTTAACCAAACCTGGAGGGGTGTATATGTAATTTGCCCAAAGAAAAATTATGAGATTTAAGTGATAAGAAAAAAAAAAAATCAAGTTTGATGAAATAATAAATGTAGTCTTAAGTTTAGTTTAAATGATTGATAAGTCAAGTCTAATAAAGCAGTAAGTAGAATCTCACTGAATAGTAAATATTATTTAAATGAGTGATAAGTCAAGTTTGATAAAGTAGTAAGTATAATCTCACTGAGTAGTAAGTGTGGCTTAAATAAAAACTATAGACTGTTAAAAATATAAATAATAAAGCATGAAATAATACAAATATAAACACAAATGGGACCACTATAGACTATGTTACTTATAAAAATATAAACAATAAAGCATGAGACAATACAAAAAATTCATAATCATGAGAAATTAATAAAAAAACTCAACCATTTATTGTCTAACAAAAAGTGTCCAAGTCCCCATTACCCACCTGAGAGGGTAATTTATATGAAAATTGGGCCAAGCTGGCTAATGGGCCATTATGGGCCACAGTACTAAGAACTGAGTAAAATGCCGTAAAGTTACTCCGGCTCGAGAGAGGTATAAAAGTTACTCCGGCCCGAGAGAGATGTAAAGTTACTCTGGTCCGGAAGCGACTTGGAGTTAGGCCGGTTTGAAAACGCTTTCAAGTTAGACCGGTCTCAGAGTTAGCCCGGTCATAACGTATTGTGGTTAGACTGGTCAGAACCTTGCTACTCGGTAGCTCGGTCTAACCACACCATTCTTTGTACATGAGGAACCGAGAAAAGGAGTAGTGAAAAGGAGAACCGAACTAAAGATGGTTTGGCCTACTCTACGGCTCAGCATAGCCATGATTACCTCGGTCTTGTTAGAACTCGATCATGGTAAAACCATCTCACTTGGTTTAAGCAGTGAGGGGTGTGCTGAAGGATAAGCATTATCCTTCAGGAGTATGAATCCTAGGAGGACTCTACATGGAGGAGTAAGAGTCCTACTTGGATTGTGCTACACGAAACCTATAAAAGCTCACAAACATCACCTATGGAGAGGTAATACAACTTTGATTCTCGAATTCACAGAGCCTCTTGTCTACTTGTCTGACTTAGGCATCGGAGGGGTTTTCGGCACACACCCGCCGGCTAGCTCACGTTTGTGTTTTCAGGGAGTAAAGTGACGTCGTACGGAGGAGCGCAGACTTGATCAATAGGATTATACGAGAAGGTTTATTTCTTTCCCGTACAATTGGCGCCGTCTATGGGAAAAACAGACAGGACAAAACCTCTTGATCAAGCTTTACCTCTTTAGGAACAATGGCACACAATGAAGATTTACCACAGTCCGCCATCGACAGGCAAACACCAGATGGGGGTGCAAGGCGCGAAGGACTACCTTCTATCCCTCCCATGGCGGACTTGGAGCCCCAACGATATAACTCTAGGAGGGATACTAG